AAAGGGGCAGACCAGCGACCAACAGAAGTATAAATCAAGAGGCAGCGTCCAGCCATTCATTCATTCCTGCGTGAGCCATGCGGAAGCGCTGCCCAGACGTCTTGTGCAAGGTGGTCTGCAGATGCCCGAGGTTGAAGTGGGCTGAAAGGAGATAGATCGTCCATAGCCAGCAGTAGTAGAGCGGCCATAGCTGTGTGGGCGCCTGGCGCCAGTTTTGGATTTCCATCTGTCTGCATGCATGCTGAAAGAAGAAGAAAGTGAGTCTGATTTCACCCCCGCTAAAGGAAGTGATAAGAGCATCCTCCTCTAGCGAGGGTGCTTGCTTTTGCTTATTCAAGTTTCCGTTCTATAGTTTCCCTGAGTTTTTTGTGTTCCCTGTCGCTCGTAAGATGGGTTTCTTTGAGTTGTACAATATCTGCATTGTTTGCAAGAAAACCACCCTACTGACGACAGGAAGCTATTTTAAATTATGATATTATCTGATTGCATCTGGAATCGAACTTGGGTCTGTATTTCAACAGTTCATTGGGTGTACCAAGTACGACCAACTGAGCGAGCCCCCCGTTGAGGTTCTTTTCGTCCTTTTTTTTTGGTATTAAAAAAAAAAGTTGTCCTCCCCTGATAAGGGGGACAGCTGTATTCTCTATGCTATTTTCTTCTCTCAACATTTTCCCCACCTCGCAATTGCTACTTTTTACTCCGTAGACACAGTACACACTACGGGTTGTGGGTGTAAGCCTATTTTTATACCACCTAGGGTTATGGGTGTAAGCATATTTTTACGTAAGCGGTGCACAGCCATCCACCTAGGGTTACGGATTTAGCCTATGCCCTTAGGGTTGAGCCATCCCCTCGGGGATGAACCTAACGTCTGGCAACGACTGGAAGGGATGCAACCCCTACCCTGCCAATCAACCGCCAGGGGGGGCGAGCTGACTATTATCTCAGCTGGTGAACCCCTGCAGCGCGCTGCAGGGGGCCGTGGGAGTTCGGATGAAAGACGAAGGAACTCCGACCCACGACCTCCTCAATCCAGCTTTCGTGTGCTCTACCAACTGAGCTACGCCACTGGCCCTACAGGAGGTTCGTTTCCACTTTACTGATTTACCAAACATTGTTGTCACAGATTGTAGACGTTCCACGTTAGAAATGTTAAATCTGGTGCCTTCAAAAAAAAAAAAAAAAAAAAAAAAAGGACTTCTTCAAGTTCTTTTGCAGAACTGGCACCCCCCCAAAATGTCAGAGCGGCAGCAAGACTGGACAGTGGACACTCAAACATGCCCCGACTTCCGACTTCATCCCAACCCTGTGAATCCGATATGATCGGGATAAGAGAGAGTGACAAGTAGCAGTTGACAGTAACTTGATACACCCATGAACAATTGAACTGTAGAGTAGTGTAGTATAGACCCACGACCAACTCCCGATGCAATCAGATGGACAGAATAACATAACTATTCCGAAAAAATTTACATGACACAGCAGCTCAAAGATGATATCTTGAGGCCGTCACCCTTTTTTAAACAAACAAAAACAAAAAACAGAAGGGAAGAAGAGAAAAAACTTCAAAAAAGAGTAATGAAAAAAAAAGCAGAGCAGGCCCTTTAAAAAAATCAAGGAATGAAGAAGCTCGGAACCCCTTGATCCAGAACCCCCCACCAGTCAGAGCATTGAAAGCAGATATCACGAAGCAGGCAGGCAAGAGGGGAGGAGGACGGAGGATATAAATTTATAAAAGGAGAAGAGTAAACTCAAATGAGTCAAACAGACGTATATATTATTCGGTTTCCCCATGCTCCTGCCCCCGGAATAGAAAAAAAAAACAAAAAAAAAACCGGAAGAGGAAACCGGCATACACATGTTTGTTGAGACGTCGAGAGGAGAAGGCATGCTTACAGTGTACACGCCAACCTCAATTCCGCGTTTCGCGCCAATTAACTGCACCAGCATCGCCAGTAATTGCCCGATATCCTTGGTCGTCTGATTGGGCAGTCATTCAGAAGCAATGGAATTACATGCATAAGAGCACTGAGGCCAAAACACTCATTCACAATGGGTTGCATCTTGCAACCTGAGAACCGGCAGATCAACAAACAGATCAAAACCTCACAAGTGCAGAGGGGACACTGAAGCCGCTGTATCACAAGGTTTTTGGAGTTAAAACATCAGGGGCTGCAACCGTCCTTCAGTTTAGGGTTCACAGTCGAGGGTACCGGTTTAGGGCTCGGGGTAAGGGTTTAGAGCTTACGGTTCTGGGTTTAGAATTGACGGCTGAAGGTTGAGGGTTCATGGCTCACCGTCCAGTTTAAGCTGTAAGGTTAATGTTTGGGGCTAATTTTGGGGGCTAACATTTAGGGTTAATTTTTAGGGCTTAGGAATGGGGGGGGTACACTTTGAAACAACAACCAAGAGTGATAATTGAGACTGTAACATTGAGTTTGAACTGAGTGCAAGCCATCAAGTTCATCGAGAAAGGTTGGCAAGAACGCGCCAGCTCTTTAAACAAGCAGATCATGCATGAGGAAGAGAGGAGGCAGGGGAATGCAGGAAGGCGGTGCAAGGGTGAGGGGCTGGTACGTGTGATAAATCGCCACACTTGCCGATGAATCCCGAGGGCATTGGTAAAAAAAGAGTCAGGCCCCGTGGGAGCGTCTGTGGTGGCTGCAGGTCAGGCAGGCCCCGTGGGAGGGTGTGCGGTGGCAGTAGGTCGCTGGCCCTGTGGGAGGGTCTGCGGTCACAGAGGCCTGTTGCAGCCAATAATATTTAATTAAGCAAATAAAAAATGGTGGTGGCCATTAACCACACACAGATCACAAATCGCAGCACCGAGGGCCCATCCATTCCAAAACAATAAAGGCTTGTGCTCCACACCATGACTTGGCCAGAAAAAAAAAAAAAAAGGAACCCCTTGTACCGCACACCTTAGAATTTTGTGGAGTTTTTTGAGACTCCACAGAGTGATAATTTCGGAGGTCTTATCTCAAACCATCACCGCCAGGAAGCCAGAAGGGGATGTCCAGTGTCCACCGTCGTTCCTTCTGGCTGCCAGGGTACCGATAGGCCTCTCGAGGGGTCTTGGCTTGCTCATATCTCACCACCAGCCTAGTACCAGGGCAGGGTGGGCCAACCCCGTAACCCCTTGGGATGTACATGCAGCGCTGGCTAAATTCCTTCCCGAAAGAGTACAGCCTGCGCTGCCAGGGCCACATTCATTTTCAGCTAGTTCACATGAGGACTGTCATAATAAATAAATGGCCTTTCTGCTGCAGAGCCTCAATATGTTCCGAAAAGAAGCACCGGAAGAGTCGTGGGATCATGGAGGAACCAGACCTGGTCCAAAACCCTCCACAACTTAGACCACCCCTCTACCGGGCTTTAGAAAGTTGGGGGACTGGTAGGCCGTTTTTTGGAACCGGCGCGTGGCCTACCGGTAGGTCAGTGTGGGGCCTGGCCTTGGTCCCAGGGTGGCAAAAAATGGAAATATGCCGAATATGTGACTGATACACACATGTAACTAACTGTTGGTAAACAGGTTATGGGATTTGTGATCAAAGCACTGGCCGCCAGGGTAGGGCCTGCGGCCTGCTTATAACTCAGCCTGCACAACGTTAAAAAAAAAAGTGAAAAAAAAAAAGGTTCCAGAATCGTACAGATTCAAAATCTGAATTAATCAGATGAATCCAGTAATATGCCAGACTGCGGCAACAGACAGTCTGTCGGGAGACACAGTGACAAACCCTCATGTCGTGCACGCTTAGAAGCAAACACACAATCTTTGAACAAACTCAAAAGACATGTTCAAGTAATATTAGGGCATCCCCTTTGAAAAAGAAAAAGAACATGTACTAGGCAAATATCTGCTACGAGTCTTAGGGAATTCCTAAGAGGTCTTCAGACAAGCCTTGAAAAAAATACTTCAGCTACCACAGACACCGCCAGAAATCAAGGTTGCAGCAAGGCTACATAGTAGATACCCATTGTGACCGAGTGGGTCCTGTCCGGTCTGCAGAGGTGGACACTTACCATAGGCAATGACTGCTCCTCAACTCATTTTCCTCCAGAACCCAAACACTGACTGGACTCTTGTGCCATTACATAGTAGTCTGCACTGGCAGTGTGTACTGAGCTTAGAACCCTTTGAAGTCCATTTTTCCTCTGTTCTATTTCTTCCTCCCTCCCTTTCCCTCCTCTTCCCGTTCTCCCTCCTCCTTCCCCTCATGTAGAGCTTATCCCTCTCCTTTGCCTCCTTTCCTTCTTCCCTCCCCTTGTGCAGCATTACTAAATGCATACTTAAGAGCATCATTAAACCACCAGTACTTTTGACCCTTAACTTGCCGAGCCTGGAAATTCTCTGCACACCAAAAAAATTGAACTGGCGCAGGCCTTGTTTCGGCTGGTGCCGCCAGCCATTTTGCCCCGGTAGGCCGACCTCGGAAACTTGCGGCCGCGTTGGAGAAAAGAAAAATGGATGCGAGACGTACTGGTAGTTTAAGAGAACAGGCAAAATATATGGTGCAGATGTGCAGAAAAATGAACAGGAACGTACCTCCCCCTGTACTCTGGCTCCTTTTCATAGCATGCAAGCGTGCCGTTATGGAACACGAGGATGTGGGCAGCTCACACTCAACCACAGAAATGTGGAGACCGTTGTATGTGAGGGGCACAAAATTTGGAGCTAAGAAAGAAAAAAAGCTGATGTAAGGAGAGAAAAGAAAGCACTGCACAGGAAAAGGCAAACAAGGGTTTTAAGTGTGATTCATGTTGTCTCTCTATCTTCTCCGTTTGCTTCCCAAATAGCACTCCTTTAGTTGATAGATATGTGAGGTAAACCGATTTCAATTTTGGATCTACTCATCTCAGTGGAAAAGGGGTGTCGTGGTGACAGTCGCACACACACACACGTGCACACAGAGTCATGCTTTTTGCTGTGGAGTTGTATATAGGGAACATGACAACACACACACACACACACACACACACACACACACACACAATCAGTTTTAGGTATGTTTGTTTTTCCTCTTACACACACACACACACACACACACACACACACACACACACACACATACACACACACAATCAGTTTTAGGTATGTTTGTTTTTCCTCTTTCTCCTTTTTTTTGAAGTGCTTTTGTGTCTCTAGCCGAGCACCCTCTAGTGGTGCCAAACAGTCGGTGGTTCCTCGTTTGGAGTGCCTACTGCACTCTTAGGGGGGGGGCTCGGTTCAGGATGTCTGTGTTGCCTGTCGGTGATGACGGATGGTCGTCGGAGTGTCTCCCTGCCTCAGCGGGTGGTGGGAACCAACAATCTGCGAGGTTCAATCGTGATGTGAGTAGGTCATGTGCTGCTTTGCTCCGTGTTGGATGTGTGGACGTCCTCGTCTGCGCTCCGCCGTTGCCCTGCTGCCTGTCCCGCTTGCTTTGCATGTGTTCCTTGCAGGTTGATGTGTTCGCTGTGTGGTGTGGCTGTGTTGTTGGTGTTGCCCTTGCGCTTCACTGCCGTGCTGCTCATCCGCTGGTCGTGCCTTCTGGGTTTGCCGCTTGTGTGCCCTGTACTTGTTGCTGGTGCCTTGTGCTCGGCTCCACGGTTGCCGAGCTGCTGGTCTGCTCTCCCTGTCGTTCCCTGCAGTGCTGTTGCCTTGCTTGTCTTGTCTTGTGCTTCACGACACGGCTGCATGCCCTGCGTGCCATGACGTTCCTTGCAGTCGTTTTTGGCGTTGTGCAGCCGTGTTGCCTCTACTGTGTTGCCTGGTGCTCCACAGGGTTGCTGCCCGCTGCTATGTCCCGCTTGGAGACAGTCTGCCTTCAACATGGGTCAAAGGGTTCATGACCCAAACCATCAAATACGGAGATTCCGCAGATTGTCGAGGGTTCAGCCTCCTGATGAGTCGGTGCAACTCCGACGAAACAATCTTGTTATCATCAGTTTTTATTTTTTTCGGTCTTCTCGTTTTTTTTGGGACTGGTATTTTTTCCTGTTTGCCTGTTTCGTGTGCTTGCATGTTGTCTGCCCTCCCGCCTGCTTGGTGTGCTTGTCTGTCGTCTGCCCTTCCACCTCCCCTGTGCCCTCCAGCCTTTGTCCTTCGCTGTTGCTTGGCATCCCATGCCTTATCACTCTATGCCTTTTCACTGGCTGCTTGATGTCGTCGTGTGCCATCTGCCCTCCTGCCTCCCCAATGCCCTCCATCCTATGTGGGACTTAGAAAACTGGTTGTGGTTAGCCACGGATGTATGAGGTAGCTTCAGAGAAGTAAAGCGGCAGCAGTGGTTTGCTTGTTTGGTTTGTTTGTGTGTGGCCTGTCATTCTAAGCTGGCAAGGTAGCATGGATGGGTGGCAGTTAAAACAGCATGTGATGGGCTATGGGTGGACCTGGTGTACCACTGAAAGAGTGGAGTAGCATGGCGGATGCGCCGTGAGATCATTTCCGAACCCCACATATGTGCGGCCGTTCTCTCTCTCTCTCTCTCTCTCTCTCTCTCTCTCTCTCTCTCTCTCTCTCTCTCTCTCTCTCTCTCTCTCTC